TCGATTGATTTGAAGTTCGCATAATCATGTAATTTTTTTCGCGAGAACTTTCTTTAGCCCCCATAATATATATATATTGATGGTTTGCTAATTTTATTATGCTCTTCATAGATATGTATGCTAATTATGTTGAAATCATTTATTTGAGGTCAATCACGAAAAAATATTTTTAATAATGTTCGAATTTCTTTGAATTTCAATTACTTGGAAAAAGATAATTTTGGCAAGCCTGAGAAATCAAAGTTCAACTTCGATTGGTCTGAAAATACAGTTCACTCACATAAATAGAAAACGATTCGACACGGAATAGTGCTAACTTTCAAAAAGGTGTTTCATGAATGAACACTTTTTCTGGGGGTGAGGTCACTGACAAGGTCACAAAATTTACAAATGTCAATTTTACATGGAATCATTCGAAAGTTAAACCGTTTGTTCGCTGTGCGCATTGTAGCATAACTGGGAGCTAAAATTTGGATCGTCGTGGAATCCGTAAAATAACAGATCATGAATGATAAATTCAATGTAGGACCGCTTATTGAATTTTTTATTTTATAAAATGTTCAGCTGAAGTATCTGACGCTAGCTCTTCATGACGATTTGACTGCCGTGTGCGTTTCAACGATCACTCGAAACACTTTGGAGAGATTTGCAGCAGATTTCTTTTTTTTTTAGACATTTTTAAGTTTGATATATCATTAAATACAATCTGTCGGAAATTTACGCATAACTGATTCGATTCATCCCTTATAGTGCCCCTTCGATTTTTGCACTAGAACAAAGCCTATTCTCCAGCCATAAGCTGCTTAATTTCTAGATTTTCCTCACCTTGGGTTTCCGTTATGGAATAGCCGTAGAAACCGCCTTCGTACTCCAACTGGTTCCCATACGAGTAGCTAGTGGGATTAGTTTCACCGCAAGAAGACAGGCTCTGGTCCGACTGGAAGATGCCCGACAAACGCGGAGCGGGATAAATTTCTTTGTGCCAATTTGGGTCTTTGGATCCTTTCGAGTGGTGAACATCGTGCAACGAGCCCATGCTTTTTCCCGTGGATTCGTCCGTTGATTCCTGAAGAAAAAGAGATATAGCGAAAGATTCCGGTTACATATAGCGTATGAACACGAAAACACCGTCAATCAAATCGTCCATCTCAATTTCAAAAGATTTGAAATGAGGTCGGTACTGTGAAATTAGAATGACCTAAAAGATTCTTTGACACATTCTATTTTTTTTTGGAAGAAGAGGCGCAGCATAAAAAAGTACAGTAGGCTTAGAATGAATTCTGTTTTTGCATGACTTACGTAATCTTGACGGCAAAAAATGCCCCACGGGAAATAAAGAGTTGCACGCGGAATATAAAAAAATTCTTATTTTAAAATGTATACAGTGCATCACTAACTTATATTCGAGGAATAAATTATTGGAATTATTATTGAAATTATTGCTGAGCCTAACCAGGCGGAATAAATACTTTTTTTAGGAATACAATATCATTTCAACGTGAGCAGCAGAAAATGGATGATTTGGAAAAATAAATATTCAAAAGCTGAAGCGAAATCCGGAAACGAACGATCTCAAAAATAAAAAATAAAAATATCTGGTTGACCCAATCCTTCAGTTTAAAAATTCGGGAAGTCTGCATTCCATTTCCGGTATTCATGCATGCATGCATAATTGTCTGCTCTTCTTCAAAGAAGCTGTTCAACCGGAAACTCGGCTCCCTTTCATGGGCAATGCAACAACCTTGATGCTTCTGGAAACAGAGGCTTCCGAAAACGACCCTCATTCATCAAAGCACTGGAAAACGTGCTCGAAGTGCCAAGAAAAAGTAATCTATTAAAATCGCGCTTCAACTCATCAATTTCATAAAAATATGTCCAATATACGCAATACTACGCACCGAAGAATAGACTGTTCATTCAATGGCGATTGGAAATCGCAAAGAAACCATCCAGGTCGAAGGAATGTGATAAAAATAAGCGAAGAAAATAAAAATTGAATTTTCTCAACTGCAGTAGGCGTTTGAATTTGAATTAATTTCAATGCTATCAACTTCCAAAAGCTAAAGGATTAAGGCACTATTGACATTTCAGAAAATCAAATGAAAGGATAACTATTTTGAGCGTTAAAGTATTTTTTAAATGATTTTTTCCTTTCGTTGTGGACAGTGTTAGTGTTATCGAGAATTTTACTGAATTTCCTCCGATATCCTAAGCACCAAACACCAGCTCATTTTTTTTAGTCGGTCTAAAAAAAAGCCTCTAAAAGGGCAGAACATGTCCCCTTTCTCTTCCGAATGTTGGCCACTTGGAATTGTTGGCATGCCGGGATTCGCTTATTTCTTACCCATTATCCCGCCTTTATTTCAAAAAATCAATAAAAATACTAGTACACTTATCTCTCCGTGAAATATTCGTTTTTTTCGGGGCACCCCGAAGCTCGTGCAGGACTTCGACTATTTATTGACAAACTGCCAAAGGCTCACCGTTTGAAAAATTTGGTTTAATTCTTCATCGAATGACTCTATCCTTTCACACGGTTCATTTAAACTCCGAGCATAAACCACATAACTGCTAGTCACAGAAGCCTTGCCATCTCATCGTTACGGTTTTGTGAACTGGTATACGATTCCATCACAGAAAAATATAAAATAAAACTTGGTAAACAAGGATGTAATCAAAATACCGAAGCGTCATCGCAGAATAGAAAAACCACAGCATTATTGGAAAAAAGTTGATCGAAAAGGTTCGACTCCTTCATCTGCAATGACTGTGGAGAAGTGTCTTTTAATGGACATTTCGAAGCATTTGTGACGAAATGGCATGTGATGAATGAGTATCTCATAAAATATATTTTTATATGATAGCGTGAAGACAAAAGAGCATGAAGACCGAAGATCCAACGGACAGAAGATCTTGTAGATTATAAAGATCATACAACCTCAACAGCATATATGAGGCCCTTTGAGTCTCCAAACTGAGAAATTGGCAATAAACATCCTTGAAAGTCAATACCTGGAGATAGAGCTTTAATCCAGTCATGACTCATGAGTGGGTAAACCAAGGGCTTGAAGAAAGGTTTCTCAGATTGGAAGATTAAAACAATTTATTTCAGCCGGTAAAAATTTGTCTGAAGTGTTATTAAAGGAGATCGAAAAGCCAACTTTAATTTTTCATTGGATAATTTCGACTGACTCTGTCTTCTATAAATTTCAGATAAAGATAACAGACTTCATTGCTGCTTTTTATAAGTTTATTATATACTATAAAAAATTTCATGCGAACCAGCAACACAATTCTGCGGACCACGGTTTCGGGAACTTAGATCTATATAGTGCCTTTAAACACCGCCCTTGGCATTGAACCCTTTTTTGAATGCGCCCACGATTATAATATTTCATACTGGTAATTTGAAGAGAGCCGGGCGTCGGATCTTACGACATCAACACCAACAGAAAGGGATCTTTGCGATCGAGTCGCTGAGGGCTGATTAAAAGAAGTGTTGGAGAAATGAAATGAATAATGATGTTGGATACGGGATGCGCACAAAATAAATGGATCGCGTTTCAAGGGCTCATGTTTTTTCTTTCTCGTTCAGCATCAGCCAGGCTGAAACCGAACATGTTCCAGATCTCATCCTCTCCCATTCGAGTGCGAATGTCAGTCTGCTGGGTGATGGCTTGAGAAGCAACGCGATCCCATCATCCCAGGTTCGGATTCGAAGCAGAGGCGTTCTTTTTTTTTTTTTTTTTTTTTTTTTTTTTTTTTTTTTTGGTAACATGCCGGTTCTTTTTTTTTTTTTTTTTTTTTTTTTCTTTGGAGAAAGGGGGGAAGGCCTGTGATTAAATTTTGATTCAGGTTCTGTGTATGCACCTCGGTTTTACGTCGTCATGTGCGAATGGGTTCAGTGCCTATATAAATCGAAGTTATGGGTCTGAGGAACCCCAAAAATAGCTACCTTTTTAACTGCCAGCAGTATAGGCGTCCTGTGTTTTACTCATAAATCCTAAATATAGTTTTTTTCTGACCCTCGACACGTTCTTATTTTATTCGATGTACTTTATACAGAAAGTGAGATTATTTCGACTCGTCAGGTAGAACCTTTTTTTTATGCCCGGGCTTCGATAAACCTTGAATTTAGTCGAACAGCCCCAAATCTAATCGTGGATTTTAGTGGAATGCCACATCAGCCATTAACTTGACTTGAACAATATCACATTCATGTTCTTGTATTTTCGCTTTGTACTACATCTTGACACCATTAAAACCTTGAGAGAGCACATAGGGTCATTTTAGAGGGGTGTGAATGTATTACTTGGCTTAATTAACCAGGATTATTGCGGAAAGTTATGAACATACATTTTAAAAATAAAGATAACCTAAACGGAAATTAAGCAACAAGGAAGAAGAAGGAAACTTTTGACTTCATCCTGTGGAAAAATATGTTGATCTGAGGAGAATTGTTCAATTTCTTTAATTTTCTCCCGGAACGGGTCCCTTGAGGCAGAAATCCATTTATAATATGAAAGTAACGGTGGTGACAAACATAGTTTTCCTAAGAATTTGAAAACGTTCCTTTTATTTAAATGGAATCTATTCTCACTTTCAAGAATTTTAATGATGACTTTGCGGATCCCATTAATTTCGTCCGAAATTTCAGGCACCAAAATCGATTTTTTGCATAAAATTTTAAATGTTCGTTCTTAATTTCCAAGGCATGGGCAATTCGTGGTGATCCACATGATATATTTCAGTTTTAGTCATTCGCATGGTCCTTTTTCTTAAAAAAAAGTCAAGGAAATCATTCATAAACCTCCGTGAGACATTATTAATTTTTCGGGTGAATACCCCCATGAATCACCCTGTGAAATACAATTATCAAAAGTTTCGTTCAAATCCGACGATTTTTGGATATTTGGAAGAAGGCATCGCGTCAGCAGTCATCCGGATAATAAGGTTTCCACTGTATACGAATACGACTCAATAATCCTGCATAGGATTGCTTTATTGGAGATTCTGAGTAGGATGATGAACACTGACCTTTAATCGTAAATGTTAATTGAGTTTCAGGAGTTTTCAAGAACTTGAAAGGTCAGCATGGCAGATCCTGCCGGTGAGTTGACATCGTCATAGAGAAAAAAAGTGCATCAGCTTTTAAAACTCGAATTGAGAAATTGTGCTCGTGATTTCAGTCCCGGAGTGTCTTGAAGAAGTACAGAATCTGTCCAAGCATCTGGGACTCGTCCGAAACAAACCCGGCGAGACTCTTTGGCAAATCTCCGTGGAAACAGAGGTGATGGATTTCATACTCGAATTTAAATGACTTTCATTCAAAGGATACATCATTCGGAATTTCGTTTAGTCGTCAATCGTTTTCCATCATCTTTCATTTTTACTCTTTTTTAGGAGTACAAAGTACTGCCGGTGACTCCACAAAAAACAGACGGGGAGTCGAAAACGCTCAGTGCTCTTTCCGGGATCTACGGGGTTCTCGTAGGAAGCGAATTCGTTTCTTGGTTCCATGTCAAAGAATCTGCCAACATTTTTATCTGGCATCGGGGAGCATCCACTGTACTGGTGCGTCCTAGCAGAAAAAGCCTGTCTGATTCAGTATCGCGAAAAAAATACTTTCTTTTCGGTAACCCAACTCTGAAAATCTCTCCATCGTCATCCAGCCGAAACGGACGGATTCGAAATTTTCGTTTACGATGACAATGTCAAAGGCTACCTTTTCTTTGGCTTGATCGGGTACCTTATAATCAGCTGTAGCCACGATTTTGTTTAATATTTCTGGATGAGTTTGGCGAAGTTGACCAGAAGCGAAGTTGATACATTAATTATGATCATTCTAAAACGGTAACTCCTCATCATCATAAGAAATCTATTCAGAAGAGGACTTGATCAGTCGAACCTCTCTATATAAGTCGAATTTCAAGGGTTCAGCAAAAAAAAATCCTAGTTGGAAGGTTTCGAGTGAGGAAAATGCATTTTTGTTGTGGGAAAGATGGAAGAATCGAAAGAAATGGTAAATTATGATATTTTGGGACTTGCATTGCTTCTTAAGTGAGTTGATAGTAAACTGAACTTGGAAGCAAGGGTTAATTTGACCAATCTTTCGACTCCTTTCAAAACAGGTCTAGTTACTTTTTTATCTCTTCTCTCTTTCCAGTTTCAAGAAAGTACTGTAATTACCAAAAGGCATCAGAGAATTTGAGTTATGTAGGTTTGAGAAGAAAAGCCTCTGAATTAGAGGGGTTTTTTACTTTTTAATGAATTGTTTCTGTAAGGGGATATTTCAGACGAATACTTGAAAAAAACAACAAAGAAAGGTATTCGACTTTCAGAGGTTCTAGGTATCGGGGTTCAATTATAATAAAAGAAACCACCTAACGGAACTAAAAATCATTTTAATTTGGGTATCTCTTTAATATATTTTTTAATATATTAAATAATATTATTGATTTATATTTATTTTTTAATTTATTTTGTTATATGGATGAAGAAATTTTGGGCGCGTGCATTGATTTTCCTCATGAACTTCCATTGACATTTCAAATTTATCTTCCTAATACTCCTCGCAGATTTACTTTGAATTTTACCTTTAGTTGTGTCGCAGCCTTCGCCATTCTGAAAAACAATACTGTGCTGAACACCTCCAAAACGTTCAACACATCCGTTTCAATCGCAATTCGTGCTTTATCGCTTTTTTTTTATTGAAAAATGAAAATAAAGTTTTGATTACCCTTGATCAAAATTTAGAGAATAAAATAAAACCAAGCTTATTTTTGAGGGAAAATAGGATATAAAAGCAATTTAATGAAATTAAATCCATCAGTTTTCCTCAAGTAGTGTGTGTTAAGAAATATATCACCAGGATATCAGCTGGAAAAAATCCATTACAATTTTAGGATTTACGCTTTAGAGTTTAATTTCTGGCAAGTAATAACAATCGGAGATCAGAAACATAAAAAAGATCCACAAGTTTCAAAGAACCTGCGCCGGAAGTATTATCAATTTCTTGTGAAGCCGTTTCGAAAAAAGGCATTTGCTTCAGCGACATTATTTGCAGAATGCACAGTATTTGCACTCAGTCATCACTACTTGGTATAAAATGAGTTTCCGTGATCTCGGCAAATCCACGAGATCGACGAAGAAGGAAAACATTCCGTGCACCAGCTCGGGGACCCTTTGGAGAACCCCGAGGCGAAATATTTGATCAAACTCTCAGGGAGTTCGTGGCACGCAGTGGAACTCAAGAACAAAACCGGGTTCGCTGTATACAACTGCATGACCGCCCCAGGTTCGGAATCGAACGTGTGCCCAATCTAACCCACACAAAACAAATATTTTATTCGGGATTTTTCTCATTTTCGCATAGGATTTTCTTGGGAAAAACTCGAGACGCCGACGACTGAAGAGATGCTGGCCAAGTTCCCGGCTCTTGAAGACACAATCCGAGCATTTCCTCGAAAAGCCTCAGAAGTTTGAATCCAACTTTGATTGGTACGTTTCGAAAATGGAACGAACAGTTTTTTGATTTCCTCTTTTTGAAGATGCATGTAAAAACTACATCGCAAAAAGTCACAAATATAAGTAAATGTTTCTTGCCTTTAAGCCATCAACTTTATGTAGGAAATAATTTAAGATTATTATTTCAATCTCACTATTACGCGGCCGTTGAACTAAAATTGAATATAATTCCCTTTGCGACCGTATGCAGTGAAATACTGTATGAGGACCCATCTACCAATTTTTGAACGTAAAAATAACTACATACTTTTTACCAACATTTGTTGGCTGTGGCGTGGATGTTACATGTCTGTGAATCGGATCAAGAAGAAACATATTGTGGAATTGGAATCAATTGGCGTCCATTTCTTGAAAGATCCGAGATTATCTCATTGATATTTTCGATGCGCAGTGTGGCAGACAACAGATTAATAGATTAAAAAAGTGATCTTCAAGTATTTCAGAACACAAATTACGGTAAGTCTCTCTTACAATACAAGAAAAACCTTAAGAATATCTCCCTTCGGGCACCCAATCATTTGATCGCTTTCAAATGAACAGCATACATTTTTTTCTCATGAAGGTTTTTGGTTGATGATCGGGTATATTCTTTCGCAATTTCGAAGATGAAACGATTTTCAGTCATCTGCAGAAGAAGTCATCGCTATATTTTTGCACTGACTTCTATATAAGAGGTTAGGAAGTTGTCAATGGTTCGACGATTTTTCTAGTACTGATCCCGAAATACCCAGAGATTCTTGAATTGCTCTCAATAGGGGTCAAAAGATGTCAGTTTTCATCATTATGTTTTCATCAGTACTGTACTTTCGAAAAAATAAGAATTCTCAGTAGGATGTACCACACACGTCATGTGTCTGAAAAATGATGTCTCTGTCAGAAACGCACTTATTTCGAGCAGATGAAAGATGATATATCACTGGAAAACGTAGTGCTTCAAAAAGATTCGATCTGTGGGGCTCCAAATTTAGAACCGTGTACCTCACACAAGGACCGTTATGACGTCGCTGTTACGCATCTAAAGTTAGACTGAAAACAGGAATGAATACGCACAGTAATTTCAATTAACATTTATAGGATTAATCTTTTATCATGAATGCTTTCAAATCAGCGATCGTGTATAATCCATTAGGGAAGCATCAAGGATTATGAATTACACCACCTATAATGAGAAGATGATTTCCTCTTGGGTTTTGGTTTTTTCTCAGATTTTAAAATTCTCGCCTCGCCATGCCGTAAATAAAAACCGAGAGATATTCGAAGCTGTAAAATGAACATTGTGTATTGCTAATAACTATTTATGTTTTGGTGAATATCGAATTGACGAACAGAAAAAAATCAGCGCCTTCTAGTTGGTATGAGGTTTGAAAATAATTTGCGAGTACCTGTATCAGTAAAACTCTTGAAACAGAGCGATTATTATTTATTCAATCACTTGCAATAGTTTTCGTATTCTCAAGCATGCATGATTTAATTTATATATCTCAAGTTTAGTTTATAAAGTTAAAACCCACGAATCTACGATTATTGGAGGAGATGGGTTTTTTTTTCTGTAGCTTTCCAACGATGTCTAATTAATTAAATTATGAATATAATATTTTACGCATAAAAGAGCCGTGGAATATTTGGGGGCTTGCATTTCCGAATCCTCTTTTTTCGTCTTTAAAACTGGACTAAATTTGAGATTTATTTTGTCACTGATGAAAAAAATTGATTCTCACCTTAGATTCCGTCGTCTGGATGCAGATTTCGGGTTCATAGTCTTGTTCTTCGATTTCCACGACAATCCGCGAATCTTCCATCAGCACCGTGATGCTGTGCGTACTTCGACTGCCATTTTCTTGTCTCTTGGCAAATCCTCCAGCCATGGCACCGTGGTGCTGATTGTGGTGCACCGGCTGCTGCTGGTGGCTGTGATGATGCGAATAATTCCCTGCAGCCGTCGTCAAGCCTGGAAAATCCTCGCCAGAACCGCAACAAATGTCCCGTGACAAACTCGTCTTTGTCATGAGTGACGCGGGTTGGAGGAGAATCGTCTGGAAATTTCCGAAAAACCACGGCAATCGTTATGAAATATTTGACTATAGTCAATCAGTTTGCTTGTAGAATTCCCTGCTGGAAAGCTGGGCTGTTATATATTGGATCGACTCCCAGTAGGAAATCCAGCTCACGTGTTGCAATTGGGGCTCAAGGCTTCGTTTCGATCCGACTGCATTAACATTCACGATGTTCGGTTCGAGGGGCGAGAATAACAGGGAAGTCGTGCAAAGAATCGAGGAAGAGTTTTTTTCCCTCACATTAGACAACCTCTCTCTTTCCCTATACGTGCTGTTTTCCATAATCGAGACCAAGGAAAAGCACTCAGGCGAAATACGAAAGAAGTTGTTGGCAAATTCAAGAGGTATTCCAATAGTATTCCAGCAGAGCTTGCAATTTCTTCGCCTCGCCAACCCATGCGTAGACGGTCAAATCGCGAGGGAGATTTAAAGCATGTATTTTTTGGGCATCACATTTTAACTTATTAGAATAAAAAGGCTGACGAGGAGAGTAAAATCAGCTGCTCTTGTCTGGCATAGCAAAAGAAAGAAAGGGTGAAATTTAGGACATTCATACTAATAAGATGGAAGTTTTGCTGTTAAACTACCCTGATGAACTGTACCTCCGTTGATATTTTTCTTTTTCTGTATGATTTATGTCGGTATTATTGACGCAAAAAAAGTCATTATTTTGCCCGTATTATAATTTTGAAGGAAATGGCCGCTCGTCTGTTTAAATCCGAGATAGGATCTTGAATTGAAAGCATTACCTCCCAAATTTTGGAAATGGATATTAGCTCTTTTGTGGACCTTTTTGGAACTGCCGGGCATTAATTTAATGCTTCAGCAAATAAGTGAATGCTCAGAATTTTATCAAAATATCATGACCCTTTTAGTGGTTTTCGCCAGAAACATTTTTGAGAAAAATTAGGGAAATTCCACTGCAAATGCATTCAGTATATCACGCTAATAAAATGGCAAATCTGCGCTGTGATTCAACTGTGAACCATGCCGGGAGAATGCCAATTTCTTCTTTTGATCCGCGTTTGGCATTTGAATCTTCTCTATATGACTAAGTTCCTCAAAATAAGAGTCAGAAACGTTACTTACATCGAGGAAATCATGGAGAACGTGAACACTAAATAATGGGAATGATGTTTTTTGGACACTTGAAAGCTTTCGACTGTAAAAATTGAAACTCATCACTGATACGGAGTCCGTTTACATCCCAAAAATATCCAGCTTCTTCCTTCAAATCGCGTTTGCTAGAATAAGCCTCTCAAAGACTGGATTCCTCAAATTGACTGTTGGACAACTTTTTTGCCCAGAGGAAACTATGCGTACAGAACGTGAACATACCAAAAATTACAATTAAATTTTTTGGACACGAAACATGCAGCTTCCAATAACAATCGTAAGCATTGAAACTCATCACTGATATAGCGCCCGATTTAAATCCGGAAATTTTCAGCAATTCAATTGTTGAAGATAAGTAGTTACCCTGCTATCTGCAGACTGGTCTCGCTCCATGACATGGTCGTCCCCACTGGGCCCAGATGTCTGGAAACTGCTACCGGTTCGACAATGAAACCTAGACTCCTTGTCGTTGAATGGATGAATGTTTCCCGAAATGCACGCCAATGTTGATCATTGTTCTTAATTCTTTCTTCAAAAACCGTCGGAAGAGTCATACTCGTATACTGTACAGCATAGCCGACATTGTCCAAGCTTTGAAGAACTTCGCATTCGATCAACAGTGCTTGAATTTCGAATAATTGCTGGGACATTAAAATAAATATATGCCTTAATCTTAATTATATTCGGTAGTGCGATTTTTTAATTAAGCTTGATTAGATACGAACGAATGAACTTCGACATTTTCAGGATTGATACATCAGTTCATAATATCGGGGATACAGTACTTTTTTGCCCTCTCTTGCGCATACGTTTTGAATATTCGATTTTCTGTGAAGATCAATGATCATGGTGAAACAATCCGGTTATTAGACCGATAATCAGGGTTCTGCTGCATAGTCACAGTACTGAAACCATGCACATCAGTACTCTTATAGATAATGCTTTTCATTTATGATACACGCCTTCCAAGGGGCCAAACGCTGAAAATAACGACAGAAGTACAGTTCAGTACATGCAAATCATTCCACCGATATATTGGCTGTTCAATTTCTATAATTTTAGTAACCTTAGTGCCACGATGAAATCCTCGAATAAAAAAGGACATCATATAAAAATAGCGAATATCCCAAAGAATGAACACAAAACTCATCTCTGACCTAATTCCGGCAAAAATCAATTTTGTTGGAACATATAGACATTTGTAAATCATCAAATGCTTGACAACGCTGGTCCCAGAAATTATCTGGTGAAACATGGTCATGTAATAACTTATTTCAGGCTGAACCTGATGACTTCAGCTGCTTAATTTTGACTTTAAAAATATCAACCTTCAAGTTGTACTAAGATAAATATTTCATTGTATTTGTACAACAGCTTGTTCTGCAATTACCAGAGGTAAATATGTGCACAAGCTTTTCTTTAGAAACGTTGATTGTTGATATAGATGATGTTGTCCGTAGACCGAGGTAAATAAAAATATCCGGTTAAAAATATATTCAATATATTTTTAACCGGATATTTTTATTTACCTCGGTCTACGGACAACATCATCTATATCAACAATCAACGTTTCTAAAGAAAAGCTTGTGCACATATTTACCTCTGGTAATTGCAGAACAAGNCCGCTCGTCTGTTTAAATCCGAGATAGGATCTTGAATTGAAAGCATTACCTCCCAAATTTTGGAAATGGATATTAGCTCTTTTGTGGACCTTTTTGGAACTGCCGGGCATTAATTTAATGCTTCAGCAAATAAGTGAATGCTCAGAATTTTATCAAAATATCATGACCCTTTTAGTGGTTTTCGCCAGAAACATTTTTGAGAAAAATTAGGGAAATTCCACTGCAAATGCATTCAGTATATCACGCTAATAAAATGGCAAATCTGCGCTGTGATTCAACTGTGAACCATGCCGGGAGAATGCCAATTTCTTCTTTTGATCCGCGCGTTTGGTATTTGAATCTTCTCTATATGACTAAGTTCCTCAAAATAAGAGTCAGAAACGTTACTTACATCGAGGAAATCATGGAGAACGTGAACACTAAATAATGGGAATGATGTTTTTTGGACACTTGAAAGCTTTCGACTGTAAAAATTGAAACTCATCACTGATATAGCGCCCGATTTAAATCCGGAAATTTTCAGCAATTCAATTGTTGAAGAT